ACAGAAGGTTGTACACAAAGCGCTCGAACGGTGACACGCCAGAAAATCTCATAAGAAACCAGATTGACTATATTTTTATAAATAAAAGATTTAAAAACTCAATAACATCAGTGAAATCCTACCCTGGTGCATATATTAAGTCAGACAATAACCCACTTGTCGCTAAGTTTCGTCTGAAATTAAAAAAAATCCACAAACCTAATCCTATAAGATACGATCTCAAACAACTAAGAGATGTTGAAATAAAGCAAGAAGTACGGGAATATCTGAAAAACAACATATCTAAGACAGAAGTAGTTAATGATGTTGGCACAAAAATAAACCACTTAGAAAACATTGGGAAGGAAAGACTAATTACTAGACAAAGAGATAAAAAAGCTGCCAGAGAAACTAAAAATAGAAATTTGGAAGAACAGTGTGAAAAAATCTAGATATTGGAACGTAAACACGATTCCTTCAACCTCCACAAAAAGATGAAAGAACCAACAAGCATCTATAAATCAAAAAGGCCGGGACATTTAACAGCTGCTCAAGGAAATCCAATAGTTGATATTGAAGAAACAAAAACAACATGTATGAACTATGTGACAACTACATTTGAAGACGATAGGAATGTCACCATCACACAAAATAAACATGACGATACCGGACCACCTATTCTCTATACACCTATTCGGAAGTAGAAGCTACTATAAACAACATTAAGGAGAGAAAAGCCGCAGGACCAGATGAGTTCTACTCAGAATTTTTAAAAATTATGGATAAAGATAAAGTAAAAAGATTTACCTTGATCTTCAACAATATACGAGGAGCAGACTTTCAAATCGCACTTTGTCCATATTTTCACTTTTTGACTTAGAGGTGGCGTTGGATTAGTCAAAACATCATTTATTAATTTACATACTCCTAGATATTCTAAACGTAATATTTCACGTATATTTTTGGCTTCAAAAATCACTTAGACAAACAAAACGCATTTTGTCCAGTAGCGAGAGACAAACAAATAGCGCTATTTTGCTTGCATTGCTTTTTTACTATTTAACGACTTTATTTTGCTCTGAGACGTTGATTTAGAAATCAACAGTATCTGAAATTATTCGTGCTTAATAGGTTGTTTTTATAATAATAATAGGTGATAATAGTATTAAAATGAGTGAAGGTGAGCATATTGTAGGTGATACAAATAGAGTACCGAGAAAAAGAAAAATAAATACTACGGCAAAAGAACGTAAGAGAGAAATAAGGTAAACTACAGGTTATGTTGTGTTTTTGTGGTTTTATTTTAAATATTCAGATTTAGATACAGAGGTATTGAATTTTAAAAATAATTGTGTTCACAAATCAAAAAAATTTGCATGTACAGATCTTTTGTTGGCCGACATAAAAATTATTAGACAAAACTTCAATGATAATGAAGAAAAGAACAAAAATGCTCAGGATAACAAATTAGCACAGATGATGGATGGATGGATGGATGGATGGATTAAGGAAATAAAAAGGCAAAGAAAGAGAAAGAATGGTAAATCACATGATTTTCACACAGAATTTTATGTAAGTTTTTATTTAAATAAACCAAGCTTTAGCATCAGTACATACTTATTTTTCGATTACACTTTGTAAGGTCTCTGATTGAGTATTTTTTAGGTTTGGCATAACAGCAAGAAAATCTTTGTTTGTCAAAAATTATTTTCCTCTATTTTTAATTATGGTCCAAGAAGAATTCATACGATAGTGAGAAAAAAAATGCTTGGCACTAGTATAAAAGACAATCGTGGTGGAGACAGAAAGTCCAAGAAAAATGCGCTTAAATTAGAAAGTGTCATGAAATTTATTTCGTCTTTGAAGGGCCATGAAAGCCACTATGGTAGAGGCAAGTCAAGAAGAATCTATTTGTCATCTGAGTTAAACATAAAAAAGCTGTGGGAGATGTATAATGATCAGATTCCAGATAATTTACTCCAAACAAACTACAAGTACTTTAGTCGAATTTTCAGCAATAAGTTTAATATAGGTAGATATTATTAAAAAAATGTTTTTTATTTTTTACTAAGTTGCCCGTTTGTTTTAGCCTTTGGAGTCCAGCTACTGATGTTTGTGGCTTTTGTATAAGAACAAACACTGAGATAAATACCACCAAGGATGAAGAGCAAAGATTAAAATTAAAAATGAATTAAACTATTTATAAGACGGGAGCAAAGCAGCTTTTCAAATCAATGAAAGAGGAATCTGCTGATAGCGTGACATATTGCTTTGATCTTCAACAGGTCCAAAATCTTTAAAGGCGCCTATCACGGAAGCATTCTATTCTCAGCAACTGGCTTTTTATGCATTTTGTGTGACAGATATTTTAACAAAAACTCCTGTTTTTTTATACATGGCTTGAGCATGAAGCAGGAAGAGGTGTGGTAGAAATAAGTTCTGCCTTGACTGACTTTCTAAAAACGACTGATTTTGACCCAGATATTAAACATTTAATATTGTTTTCGGACGGATGTGAGGGTTAAAATAAAAATTCCCACATGGTACATGCACTCACCTTGTGGCTTTTGAATAATGCCCCAAAAACTATTCAAACACTTACGATGACATTTCCTGTTCGTGGCCATTCGTTTATGCCAGCTGATCGAGTTTTTGGTCCAGTTGAGCTAGACTTACGTGCCCATGCTTTTATAAAGTCACCAGAAAAATATTATAAAATCTATTCTAAGAAAAGACAAGTGCGCAAGCTGGGATCTGATTGGACTTTGTATGACATAAAACATGCAGCACTTTCACTCAAAAAAGTTATAGGTATCAGTGAAGCCAAAAGAATAATCATAACTCGAGGAAAACAAACTGCTGGGGAAAGTAAAATCCTGTATAAAATAGAGGTTTTGTACAGAAATGATGACAATTCTAAAAATTTTTTAAGTTTAATTCAACCAAAGAAAAAACTAAGTGACAGTACTGCCGGAATTGCCAACGAAGTATGCTGTTAAGAAGAAAAACTGGATAGCTTATCAAAATTTTTAGTTAGTCTATCAGGCAAAGAATGGACATTAGATCCAGAATTAACTTGGTTAGATCCAATTTTGAAGGATCAGTATGGTAAAAATGTAATTGAAAAGGACCAGACCTGCGATCAATGTGAAGATGGAGAAGAATGCTGCTGTCTTCTGGAGGACGACATACATGTTATATGATTTTTTTTACTACAGATATTGCTTTACAAACACGAATTTTCAGTTCACATTTTGATTTTAATCACTTAGGGAAAATAAAACCACATTTTTTCCTTTAAAGACAATCAAATGGCGTTTTGTCCATCATTAAATATTTTTTTTTCGAATAAACTAATAAAGCTTGTTTCTTATAAATAGGGTAAGTTGATAATAAAAAATTACATTTTTTCATATATTGTGTTTTATTTTTAACTTTATTAATAATCGAGTAGCAGTTTTTCTCATTTCCTGAAAGATTTTAAAAATGGAGAAAGTGCGATATGACAGTCTGCTCCTCATATACCAAAGTGAAAAAATATTCCAACAGTGGCTAATATCTACTTTTATAACATTCCCTAAAAATCCCAATGCCAAAAAATGTAAAGATTATCGAATAATAAGCCTTATGAGCCATCTCCTGAAAACTTTTCTAAAAATTATATATAAAAGAATATAATATAAAAAGTGTGAAGAACACATGACAAACAAACAATTCGGCTTCAGGGATGCATTGGGTACTCGAGAGGCACTTTTTGCAATACAAGTTCTATTTCAAAACTGTAGAGACGTGAACTGTGATATATATGTGTGTTTTGTTAATTACCAGAAAGCTTTTGATAGAATAAAACATGACGAACTGATGAAAATATTAAATTGAATTGGTCTAGACAGCAGAGATCGCCGTATAATAAACAATATTTATTACGTACAAACTGCAGCTGTTAGAGTTGGGATGAGTTAACAAACGACATAAAAAATAAAAAGAGGTGTGCGACAGGGAAGTATATTGTCCCCATTATTGTTCAATACATATTCAGAGCCCATTATGATTACGCTAATGGTACTGTCATTTTTGCAGACAGTCTTGAAGGTCTGCAGACACTTGTTTCCATGGTGGCAAAAGTAAATAGCAGGTTTGGGCTTGATTTTAACATAAAAAAGCCAAATACATGGTTTAAAAAAAATAGGATATTCCCTTAAATAGAAATTAAGATAAGGATCAAGAAGGCAAGATCAGCTTTCGTCAAAAGGAAAAAAATCCTTAACAGCTACGATATCAAATTGGAAATAAAAGTTCATTTACTAAAATGCTACGTATTTTCTGTTCTTTTATGTGGCGTGGAGTCATGGACCTTAACTGAAGCATCACTGAAGAGACTCGAAACATTTGAGATTTGGTGCTATAGACGCATGTTGAGGATTTCCAGGATAGACAGAGTTACCAACGAAAAAGTACTACATAGAATGAGTAAAGAGCACGAACTAGTCGTAATCATAAAACGTCGTAAACTGGAATATCTGGGCTATATAATGTGCAATGAACAACGATATGACTTGCTTCGGACCATGCTTCAAGGTAAAGTGCATGGGAAAAAAAGTCCAGGACGAAGAAGAATATCCTGGCTGCATAACCTGCGAAAATGGTTTAACTTAACCACTACCGAAATTTTCAGGGCAGCAGTCAACAAAGTAAGAATAGCTATGTTAGTGTTTAATATCCGTAACGGATAGGCACCATAATAAGAAGTAAACGAATATAATGCAACTTTTTTAAAATATTTAAACTTATTTATTTTATATAAATTTCATATAAATTGCAATTGGAACAAATACCGTGTGGAGCATAAATATTAATACATAGAAATATATATAATTTGATACAAATTTATATAAATCAAATAAACTTTTTATTTGATTTATATACACGATTGGAGTGTATAATATTTTTTTATACATTTTTATATAAATATGCCCTATATTAGATTCCATAAATGGTTTATAAAAGATCAACACACTTACATTAATAAAAACAGCAGGATATGAAGTGAATATTCCAGAAATCTCTTCGTACATTTCTCGGCAGAAGCGAACGGTCCAATTGAGTAGTCCTCGTCTAATCGTTGAATGCCATTCGCACAACACAACTGCGCGGCTACGGCAATTGGGAGACATAGCGATAATACAGCCCAAATTATGATCCAGACAACAACTATGATATCCATTTTAAGTATCTATAAAAAGAAAATGGATGAGCTTTGTTTCGTATTTGTAAAGAGGTTATAACTATATTTAGAATAAAAATTTAGGTATACGAGGCCATGAAAATATAAAAATAATCTTGTTTGGTGGGTTTTCTTTTGGCGCAATAACTTTAATTTCTAGGTTGAAGAGCTCAAAGGGTATAGGAGAAAAAAAAACACTAAACCTACCAACTAAAACCGCTATTTAACTTTTGTGTATTCGATTCAGAAAAGTATCAGAAAAGTTTGTAAACAAAATTCAGGGTAGTAAAATGAAAATTCATTTTTTTGCATAAAAAAATGCATTTTCAAAGAGCATAGAAGAATAAAAATTTGTAACTCGAAATATGTGAACAAAAATGAGTTTAGTTTTGTTAATTTTTGGGTTTTCGAGGTCACTAAACACGAATATGATAACAAGGATATTCCTCGATCTACCTTATGCCCAGGGCGAACCTCGTCTTCTGGAGTATGTTATTTTCGTTCTATTAATCAGTCGATGGTCATTACTTGGGGGTTTTAGAGGTTGCTGAATATGAATACGAGAAGGGCAATCTTCCTTGAGCTACCTGGTGCCCAGGTTGGAGATCGTCTCCAGAAGTTTTATGTTATTTTCTTTTGAAATCAGTCGAAAGTGATTACTTTGATATTTGTGAGGTTGATAAATACAAAAATTATGACGGCAATGGTTCTGGTGCTACAGTTGCTCAAAGTGGACCTCTTTTCATGGAGTTTTATGTTATTTTTATTCAAAATCACTCGAAAGTCATTATTCCGGTTTATTGAGATCGCTGAATACGACTATGATATCGACGATGGTCTACGAATTCTTTATGCCTAGGGTCGACCTCCTCTTCTGGAATATGTAATTTTAGTTCTATACATCAGTCGACGGTAATTACTTGGTAGTTTTCGATGTCGCTAAATATGAATATTATAACGGCGATCTTCCTTGAGCTACTTGGTGCCCAGGGTGGACATCGTCTCCCGAAGGTTTATGGTATTTTTATTTGAAATCAGTCAAAACTCATTATTTTCAGGGTTATTGAAATCGCTGAATACGAACATTGTGAATAAAATGGTCCTCGAGCTACCTGCTGCCAAGTGTGGGCTCGTATTCGGGAGTTTTAAATTGTTTATTTTCGAAATTAGTCAAAAGTAATTACTTTAATGTTTTCGAGATTGCTAAATACGAATATGATAACGAAGATGGTCCTCGAGCTACTTGGTGTCCAGGATGGACATCGCCTCCCGAAGTTTTATGTTATTTCCATTTAAAATCAGTCATCTCTGATACTTTGATGTTTGTAAGGTTGATCTCCTGGAGTTTTATGTTATTTTTATTTAAACTCAGTCGAAAGTCATTATTCCGGTTTATTGAGATCGCTCCAATACGAATATGATATCGACGATGGTCTGCGAATTCCTTATGCCCAGGGTGGACCTCCTCTTCTGGAGTATGTGATTTTCGTTCTGTACATCAGTCGACGGTCATTACTTGGTGGTTTTCGAGGTCGCTGAATATGAATATTCTAACGGCGATCTTCCTTGAGCTACTTGGTGCCCAGGGTGGACATCCTCTTCCAAAGTTTTATGTAACCTCCATTTGAAATCAGTCATCTCTGATACTCTGATGTTTGTGAGGTTGCTAAATACAAATATTATGACGACGATGGTTCTTGTGCTATAGTTGCTCAGGTTGGACCTCGTCTCCTAGAGTTTTATGTTATTTTTATTCAAAATCAGTCAAAAGTCGTTATTCGTGGTTATTAAGATCGCTGAATACGAACATTAGGATTAAACAGTTCTCGAGCTACCGGTTGTCGAGGATGGACCTCGTATTCTAGAGTTTTATGTTATTTATTTTCGAAATCAATCGAAAGAAATTGATGGTCCTCAAGCTATCTGGTACCCAGAGTGAACTAAAATTTCTGAAGTATCTTAAGTTTATTCTAAAGTAGTCGTCGGTTATTATTCTAATGTGCTAAAGTTCGGTAAGCATAAATATGATAACCACGATTTTCCTCAAGTTACCTGATGCCTAGTGCAGGTCTCCTCTTTTGGAGTTTTGTCTTATTTTTATTTAAAATTAGTGGAAAATCTCTACGTTCTGCTTTTCTTGAGAGCCCCTGTGCGTTTAACCTGGTCCAGTCGGGAATGCTTTTCAGCTAAGATATTTTTTGTCTGTCAGGACCCCTTTTTCCGCTGCAACAACTCGTAATCATTATTTCCAAGTATGTGCCCCAAATATGCTGTATTTCATCTTTTAATGGTGGTCAAAAGTTCTCTGTCTCTTCCCATTCTGTGCAACACCATTTCGTTTGTAATATGATCGGTCTATCGTATGTTTAAAATTCTCCTGAAACACCACATCTTAAAAGCTCCCAGTTTTCATATTAGATCAACATTCACAGTTCAGGCTTTGACAGCATAAAGAAGAATAGAGTGGATATAACATTTTAACATCCGATATCGGATTTGCAGATTAAGTCTTTGGGTACACAGAAATTTCCTCATCTTTAAAAAGGCTGCTCTTAATTGCTATATTCTTTTAAGCAAATTTCTGATTTCGGATTCAGATGTTCCCTACTTAAGACTGCTAAGTATTTCATTTTGTCCACTTACTTAATATCTTCATTTTTTATCTGAATCCTTGTAATGCCTTTGCCCCTCTTACTGATAACCAAAACCATGTTTTCTTCATGTTTATTGTTAAACGAAACTGTTTCCCAGTATCACAAGTTGTTTGAGTAACGTCTGCAGGTCTGTCTCACTTTCAGCGATAATGACTGTATCATCAGCATAATGGATGTTATTTATATTGTCACCATTTATCTTGAGCCCTTTTGTACAGTTTGGTTTAAAACTGTAAAGCAAATTAGAATATTATGTTTATTGCTTTTGTCAATTATTCGGTTAGGTGTATTTTTTCGTTATTTCCAGATTTAATTTTTACTTTTTTATGTAAATTATAATAATCAGGATTTTTCCATCATCCACTTTTCTCTCACCTCTCTTATTTTGTTCCCTAATAATGTATGTTTTTCTCTGTACTTATTTGGGTTTTTAATTTTATTCTTCGTTGTTTCACGATTTTTAGTATTTCTTGAGTCATGCAAAGTTTTCGGCTTTCTGTTTTCTTTTATAGAGTTTGTTTCTGTGTTTTTATAAGAGAATTTTTGATTTTGCTTAACATGATGTTTATATTTTCAGTGTTTTTTATTACTAATGTAAATTTCTTCATTTCTTGATTGATACGAGTTGGAGCCTCAGCACGAATTTTATTTATCTTGAGTAACTGAGTATTCAACTTTTGTATTTTATTATCTTTTTTACCCTCAGTTTTATTTTTGAGACACGAAGGTTATGATCTGAGGGGACATCTGCTTCAGGAAAAGTCTTAACGCTTACAATGGAATTAGTAAATCTTAGATTGATTAGAATAAAGTCGATCTGATTTCTAATGCAATTTTCTTCATTATCCTGTGGTGACCTCCAGGTATACAGTCTACGGCATGGTAATCGAAACCATGTGTTCATAATCGCCAGGTTTTCTTCTTGACAAAATTGAGCCAATCTGTGTACTCTAGCATTTCTTATTCCTAAACCATAATTACGTATTATAGTGTCGACTCAGCCTTTTCCTATCTCTGCGTTTAATTTAACCATTATTATAGTACTTTTCTCCATTCATGTTTATTGTAGAAGTTGTTTAAGTTGTTTATAAAAATGTTCTATTTCAGCTTCTGATTTATCTATAGTTGGAGCATACACTTGTACTACATACGGCTTACCCCGTATTTGTAATAATAGCATTCTATCTAAAAAGGGAACAAACTTTACAAGGGCTGCTTGGATTCTCCTTGAGATAACTATTCCAACTCCATATAGACGATCTCGGGTGTCCTTTCTGGAAAAGTATCTCGTTTTATCCATGACCAATGTTTTACCGGAACAAGGCCAGCGCATTTCGCTTACGCCTAATATGTCTAGATTTCGTCTGTGTAATCCTTACATTCTATTTCCCAAAATTTAAAAAGGATTTGTTTTTTGTATAGTTTGTTGTCACATTTGGGTGGCTCCTCCTCGAGGAGATTCTTATCACCCCACGACCATTAAAGTTTTGCCGCGGACTAGGAACCATGTGATTTGTTCTAGGAAAATCTAGTGTAAATTGAAAATTTAATGTAGTGATTTCCCGTTGCCTTTTACATCCTTATGCCGTTGACCACTAATAGGTTAATCCGCCTTTAGAACCAATTTCTTAACCCAGGACAGAAAAGTCCCCTACCACTAAGTATACACCTACATTGGAACCGTATTTCTGCCGATCCGACATCGGGCGATCGGACGACGTCGGACTGAGAAGCTTCTCCTATCAAACTTGTTTGAAAGTGAAACTGGAACAAATCATGGAGTGGAGATATCCAGGAGTGGCTAGTATACCTGTTGAATACAAAGCACGTGGTGTTCGTGTGTATTGAGGTATAAAAATGCTTATTAAAAGCTTAAAATTTTTATTTTAAAGAAGATCTTTTCGGAATTGAATCATTCCATCAATAGTTTACTAAAAGAGAGAGTAAAAATACCAATATTAAAAAACAAGTAAGTTAAAATTTAAATATATAAAAAGAAGACGTTGGTTTTTTACTATTTACATAGAAATTGGTTAAAAACATTGTACAGCCACATAAAAACATTGGAAGGACATAAGTATTAAAAAACAATCCTCATGGTATTTATAGAGGTAAATGCAATAGACTGTTAACTTGTTGAATAATAAAAACTGAAAATGGGGCCATCTTACATGACCCTCTGTAGCTAGTTTTATCGACTTACATTACCTCTGATCTGTGCTGGAGTCTAGGGCTAACTGATAGAAAGATGGTATAAAAAATCAGTTAGTACCCGTCAATGTCAAGTGAAATGATGTAGTAGGAGCAAAAGTCATTATGCTTAAGTTTGTGAATAAGCCGTTTTTAGTAAATAAT